GATTTTGAAACTCTGGAGAAATCTCTGTGGGCACAGGACAAGGCTGAAAATCAATACTGTCTGCCCGTGAACGTCTGGACCTCAGACTGCACTACACTAAAAACAGGCATGATGCGATCATTGAAATCACTGCAGGGGCTCAGAAACGCACAAAAAAGCCATATATGAACATGATCGAAGCTCATTTCTAACGGGCAAAGTGGAAATTAGAAAATCATGGGATTTTCTAATGTAGGATGGCCCCTACATCTTTCTTTGTCCTCATTCTAAACATTTTGCAAGTTTTCTGTGTGCTATTGTGAATAAAATAAAATTGATGAAATTTGTAAATCACTGAAATCTATTTTTTGATTGACATGTTACACAGTGATTGCCTACATTTTGTCTACATTGTCTACATTTTTTTTGAATTGCTGTGTAATTCTGTCTTTTTAATTTTGTTATTTGGTTATTTTGCTTATGGCATGTGGTCAGTTAAACACGTAATCACGTTAAAAAAGAAAACTCAGTCTCTTCCTGCCATTTTAGAAATAGGCGCTTTATAAGAATAACGTCATCACATTATAAAAACTATTAGTGGTGTACTTTTATGTGTTGCAAAAGCCACCAAGTTATAGAGAGGCAGTGATTCACTGAGGGTTCACTGAAGGTTCAGTGAGCTATCCATAGCTCAACAAAATTATGACGCTGACATAAAGAGACAGCTGTCTCCATTAAGCAAAATGCTCAATGATTTTGCTTAATGCAAAATCATCGAGCATTAAGCACTCCACACTCCACATCTCGAGTGTGGAGGCTGTGTCGTTAATCAAAGACTGGTGTGACATGTCTCTCCAGCGTTGTGTGCGGGTGATAATTCGCTTCATAATAGTACGCTGCGACGGTGACAGACAGGCTAAATCCAGATTCCTGATGAGACATATCCATTGCCTGGATGTTGATCTTAGCTTATGTCATCTAACATTAAAGTACAGACAATCTACTTTTGAGCTTAAGCACAAACACTTGTGTTAGAAATACTCTGGTAAAAATGGAAGTATTGATTCAGGTTCTTCATGCAAATAAAAGTGAAACACTAAAAAGTAACTCTTTTTCAACTCCACAAACAGCTTTTGTGCAAATCTCATTGAACCTCCACCTGCCAATTTCATTTAACAAGCAACAGTGCAAGAGTGCAAACCTTCACCGTGGCAGTTCACTCTCTGGGCAGTATTTGTATTTAAGAAAACTGTTGTATTTTTTATGAATTCATTTTGTTTTCATTGGGGTTTTTTAAACACACTTTCAGATGTTTGTAGTGCAGTGAAAAAAATTGCAAAGTTCAGGCTTTTGTTGTTCGTTTTGTTGAAACCTATTTTGATATACTTGACAAAATTTAGAATAATATTTTTTTTAAATCAATTTTATTGTTATGGATATAGTACATGTGTAGCATTCATTTAGTATTTTTTTAATATGCAATAATAAATGCCAAGTGAAAGTTTTTGCTCACCAGCTTATTTGGTTTTCCAAAAAAACAATACAATAAAATAAATTAAAAATGTATTCAGGAGCATTATACTGTAGTCTGTATAATGTATTTAAACAGTTAAAACCTGTAGTACACACTTGCAAGAATCATAGTTTCTAAGTTGTAAAGCTTTTTTGTCAATTTTTGACCAAAAAATCATTAAGTTGACCTTGAAGACCTTTTATTTGTTAGCCTGACCCCACTCTACACCCCTACACAGTTTTACCAGAATTCATTCAAAGCTTTTCAAGCTGTTGTGAAAAGCTATCGTGTTTACAGACAACATGACTCATGCTACCAAAAACATAAACACTTTGGCAGAGTTAATATAAAAATATTAATTCGTGGGAATATTTTTTCAGCCTTGACTCTAATGAATGTACTCTGCTTAAACATCTGCTATGTAGAACGCAAGCAGAGGAAAACAAGGGAATTAAAAAAATAACTCTATTTGCTGTTACCTACATTATAGATGGGCCACTTTGCCTAAACAGAAAAAGTTAGGAGTGGATTCAGAAGTTGTGGGAACACTAAGATCAATTTTCAGTTCAATTCAATTTTATTTATACAGCACCAAATCACAACAACAGTCACCTCAATGCACTTTATATTGTAAGGCAGACCCTACAATAATAAATACAGAGAATAACCCAACAATTATATGACCCCCTATGAGCAAGCACCTTGGTGACAGTGGGAAGGAAAAACTCCATTTTAACAGGAAGAAACCACCAGCAGAACCAGGCTCAGGGAGGGGCGGGGCCATCTGCCGCGACCGGTTGGGGTGAGAGAAGAAAGACAGGGTAAAAAACATGCTGGGAAGAGAGACAGAGATTAATAACAAGTATGATTCAATGCAGAGAGGTCTGTTAACACATAGAATAGAAGAAGAAACACTCGATGCATCACGGGAATCCCCCGGCAGCCTACGTCTATTGCAGCATAACTAAGGGAGGATTCAGGGTCGCCTGATCCAGCCCTAACTATATGCTTTAGCAAAAATGAAAGTTTTAAGCTAATGTTAAAAGATCAATGTTAGTGGTACAGCCTGGGACAAAAACAAAACAAAACAAAACACTAGAAGTAAGTCACATTCATTTCTTTTGTGAGTCCCAGTGGAGTTTGTGTGCATGACGTGATCAGTTGAGCAGCGCTGCCTTAGGTCTGATTTAACCCACCGAATTTAACAAGATATAACCACACGATCCACAGTGGGTGATTTCCAGTCCCTAGACAGCATAAACCTTGTATAAAGGTGGGATTCAGTGAGTAAATCTAATAAGCATTATCATCTTAAATTTATATTGATGCCTGCTACCCTTGGTATAACCAAACTCTCTGCACCAGTCCAACAGTGCATCACTGTAAACTTCACCACAGCAATGAAAAGTAACCAGTGTAGCTTGCACTAAATTGCCCAGTATTTGCATGTTATCTTTGAATAGCGCAAAGATGGTATACTTAAAGTTGTTTTGCAGGATATTTCACAGTATGAAAAAAAAAAAAATTCATCAACACATCAGGTATAAAGCTGATATCAAAAGCTTATGAAATTGAGGACATTTAAGCTTTAAATTCTGAGTCTATCAAATGTCACTGAGCAGCACTTAAAAACAATCTCTCCTCCCCCTCTCCTCTTTCCTCATCGTTGAGTAAACTTCGCTCTCATTCTTTTCTCACCCTGGGAAATACAGCAGTGATCCTTCACACTGTCTGACAAACTGCACAGACTGTTGTGTTTGCTGACATTTGTTGAGCTCTTTAAAAGATGCATTTAAAATGACTTGCCACTTAAAAAAATATTACTCCCTTTGTGCTCGCTCCTCTTCTGCAGCGCTATTTCATTTCGTCATGTGTCATAAGAACCGATGTGGGATACACCAAAAGGATTCTCTTTTATATGTTACTGTTTCTCCCTTTACAGTGAAATCAGTTTGATGTCTGGAAGGTGAGTGAGGTCAAATAGCTCCCGTTTGAATAAACCTAAAGTAACAAGTGTTTAAATACTCAAATAGAGCACAGGTATCCAAAAACTCTATGTAAGTACAGTAACAACATATTACTTTTCCCACATCTGAAAATATTCAATTTTTTTCTGTCATGAGTTTTGAAATGTGCTTGTCCAGTGGTGTGTGCCAGTAAAAGTAATAAAATTACTTTTCTATTCATTTATGGAACATACTGTATGTACAGTCACATTTGGTTCTTTTAAAGAGTGTCAACAGATAAATGCGGTTTGCTTGAATAATATCTCAGATAAAATCCACTTTTCAATCGGTTATTTGATCCAACTGATTTAATAATTTAATTTTCTTTTATGGGAAAAAGTACGTTTATTCTTGGCACCAGAAGCTGTTAGCAAAAACTAGCTTTTGTAGCTTGTTTCTTTTGACTATTTTTCAATGCATAATTCCCAGGGTTTCAGGGTTTTTTGGAGGGGAATGTCTTTCATGTGCTGCCTGTTTCAAATCCATCACCTTACACTTTCCTGCAGATGGCCTCTAATCATCTTCCTCTCTTCACTCTTTGATATGATGCAAAATTCATAGTCGTTTCAGAGATCGCAAACACAGCAGCCCCTCAGGCACTGAAGCAACAACAAACCAGAACATTTCTACCATTATAAAGGAAATGTCAAAGCATTGAGTCACATAATTGTATGTTCAATGACATGTTCACCAAATGTTTTCTTTTTCTTTGCACCCTTTCCATAGAGGTCAAATTTAACCAGTCTAGTCCTGATGACATACAGATTTAAGAATTACCTGATGGAAGATTTTGGGATGAATCTTCTTCTGGATGCTCTTGATTTGAATTTGGATAAACTGGTTTAAGAATAAGCCGAAGCCCACTTTTTCTGACGTTTTTAGCCTGGATAAAAAATCAGATAGAGATTTTTAGATCTTGGTATGATGACATTACCAGAACAGTAGGCCCTGGATGTCAGAGGTTAAAAAAGATGGGCTCCACTGCCTACATAACAAAAGGCACTAGATAATAATGTGAAATAGGTTTATCAGAGGAGATAAACTAGTTACAGCTAGTTGAGTTAAGCTAGTTGGTTTACACCTTAACTGCTTTGGTTACTGTCAAAGGTGTCATGGAGTCATTTATCCACATTATTACAGCTTTAAGCAACTACAGAAAGCCCGATAGAGACTAAAAACAGAGCTTAGCATCAAGGAGATGTTTGATTTGCATTCTTTAGTTGGTCTTAACACAACACACAATAAATGTCAGTGCAAATAACTGTTTTCTAGCTACTTCGTCATATCAGTTCAAAAGGAGGTTTCCCAACTCTTGATGCTGTCCCCAAGCGGTTGAAAATAGTAGTTATTTCATCAGTCACCGCTCTAGTCACCATGTATATAACTAATAGAGAACAAGTGCATTTGATTCCTCCCCTTTACCTCTCACTGCTCTCAGCCATGCTTCTAGAACAATTCTTGGATCTACGCATTGTTTTAATCTTTCATTCTGTGTGCACCAGGCCTGGGCGGAGCATGTGGTTACCTGGTGGGAGCTATGGACTGGGGTCACTCCGCGTTGGGCCGTCTCTTTGGATCCGAGTACCAGGTCATCTATTTCTTCTCAGCGCTGACCTGGGGCATCTTCCTCACTGTGCACCTCTTCAGTATTCCAGAGCAACCTCTGGGCAAGGCACCATCTCCATCTGATTCACCATCCAGCCCTCTTCGCCTGCTGAGCTCTCATAGCAATAGTTATGGAGCACTTAAGGAGCCTGTCTCTCCTGTAGTCTCTGCATCTGTCACAGATCTCAGGCCCAGATCTTTCTCAGCCCTGGGAGAAGCCAATTCAGTGACCTCAAGTGTCAAACAGCCAAACAAAGAGGTATGTAACATGCATAAAAAGTCTTTCAGAGAGTTTAGTGCATTAAGTGAATTACACAATACAGAGAGCCAATAAAACTAGTCAAACCTTGAAGTTGCCACAGACTATATTGAGATTCAAATGGTTAGTCAGGGTACGCTTGGCAGAGGCAACTATGGAAATAACACACTGAGTCTTATAGGAGTTTGAATCCTTTCTCTACAGTAGTAAATGATGTGAGATGCAGTATTCAGGAAGTTTCAAGACTATTGATACACCTGCCAGTTCACCTTACTATTCCTGCTTTGCTGAATGCTTTGCAGAATATCTTAGTATTTGATCTGCCCCCCCCCCCCCTTTTTTTTTGCTTTATTGACACCAGCCATGCAGCTGGCATGAACTCTCCAAGTTTGTATAAATCCTGAAAAACTATGCTATCCCAGCAGGATCTAAGAGGGTTCCACAGAGTATCCCAAAGGCCGCTGAGATGCAGGAATGCCTTTCAAGAACCCCTATAAGTATAGAGTGAGGCTGGGGTCAGCGGAGTGTTCAGGAAAGACCAATAGAACACATCTGCCCGAGTGTCATCTCAACGACTGCTTCAGTGCAGACAATACAACTTCCAACTTTATAAGTTCCTGCATTAAAAGTATATCCAAACTTTCCAAAGATTTTCTAGACTTATATATTTGACTGATGTGATCTCAGTCTTTTACATTTCAGAGGGATTGATGTGATCACCTTCCTCAAAATCACCTTTACAGTTTTCATTTAAGTGTTTGATGAATTATCTCTACGATGTCGACTTTTTGCCTGAATATTCCTCCTCCTTCTTTTGTAGATTCAGCTTTCCATTGATGCTTCACATTTGTTTGTTTTTTGCCTGTTATGTTAGAAAGGTTTAAGAAAAAAAGATGCTAAAAGAATTGCTCTGTATATATCTGCTACACTAGAAAATTAATAAGGGATGATTGTTCCAAAGAGCGTAGTTGTTTTTTTCTTTTTCAAGTCTTCCTTTTGCTTTAATCATCTCCTATCCTTAATCCTAAAGCCAACTCCTTAGTAGTAGTCCTTTATGCTGAATCCCTTCATTCAATCTAATTACAGCCTTTTATGGGGCATGCATGTTTTTTTAATTGTAGAGTCTTTTGAAGTGTTGTCACTCATGGGCTAAAAACACCACTAGCCGTGAAATACCAGCAGACTAATGAGCACTCTGAGAGGGTTTTTTTCCTCCTGTCAGTTTTTTAGCTGCTGGCACTGATGTCTGTGATGTTTTTGTGTATTTGCAGGACCAGAAGAAGATGACGTTCAGGTTGCTGATAAAAGCTATTGTCAATATGCCAAGTCACTACCGCTGCCTGTGTGTCAGCCACCTGCTGGGATGGACAGCGTTCCTCTGCAATATGCTTTTCTTTACCGATTTCATGGGACAGGTATTGATTTGCATGTGTCTCCAGTGAGCTTTTTAGAATTTCAAATAGTAACCAATCAATAATCTTATTTAGAAAGCTGGGCCATCATAAAGGTTACAATTCTACTTGATATTTATCATCGCTGCGTCCTTTCTTTCACATGTTGCTGTCAGATTGTGTTTCTCGCCAAGGCCTCTGTCTGGTGGAATAGATGAGAAAAAAGTGTTTATTTTTCTAAAGCCTTGAGTTTAGAATTACAACCAACTCACCACAACGTTTTTGAATGAGGACTGCTAAAATGCCAGCTGTTGCTAGACAGCTGCAACTATAAACTGTACCAATAAAACTTCAGAGCAGATGTCTTCAGCTGGATATTAGTCCAATTAACCAACACTGCAAGTGTTATATTTGCACTAAAAATGCTACAAAAGGCACTAACAAAAATGGATCCAGTTCAATTTCTCAAATTAACTGAGCTGATTTCTAAGGTCTACCAATCTCAAAGCCCTTAATGATGCATTACTTTAATCAATTTACATACCAACAAGCAATTTAAGCAAGTTAAGAAAATCATTTTTTAAAAAGGTCATGAATAGAGCCCAGCCAACATGCAATATTTGATGAATTAAAAATCAAATATTTTGATATATTGCTGTTTTCTTCTTTTAGATACAGGAAACCTAAAAAAGATTCCCCTTACATTAATACTTATTTATTTACGATATTACACACCATTTGTTGTTCGTGGTGTTCTGAACACGTCTTCCCGACAGGAAATTGCAGAGTACCTGTTGGTGGATAAACTCCAGTGGTGTTATAAAGAACTACTGTTATTTTTTGCATATCCAAGTGTCAATTTTTAAACAGATATGCATAATATCTGAACAATAGAGGGTTTTTCTTTCCAATATAAGGTTATTTTCTTATTTTATCAATTGTTTTACTGTGTGTGTGTGTGTGTGTGTGTGTGTGTGTGTGTGTTGTGATCTAAATGTGTCAAGTAAAATATAAAGGTGCTGCTTTTATTCCAGTCTGTTACAGCTAGTGGTCTGTCTATAGGTGACCATTTGCTTTTGGAAGAGTCCTTCCTTCACACTCATTGGCTAACAACGTAGTCATTAGCAATGATTTTTGTGATGTCAGACTGTGAGCAGCATTAGTGCTTGTGAGCTTCTGATTGGCCATCAGATCTAGGAGTCAGGGTTTAATCACCACCTGTTCATTGGCCTTGGTGTGTTCTTGACGGTGATTTTTTTGAATTTTCATATGAACAGCGATAATTTTTCCAAATAAAAACAGAAAATCCTTGCATGTGGAAACCGTCTCAATAATCCTAGCAAACAAAACAAAAACAATTTACATATAATTATCTAATTTACTCAGTTAGTTTGGTTTGCTTTGTTTGAATATGGCAATTTAGTCTTTGGCAGAAACAATTAACAAAAATCATATCAGACTTATGTGATATCCCTTAAAATGACTTACGTTCAAATGAGGTAAGGTTCAAAGCAACAACATTAGAGAGGAAAAGCAACATACTGCAACATGTATCTGCGTTCAAGCTCCGTTAAGCTGCCTGCTTGTGTGTGGGCAGATGGAGGGTGAAGGGAGGTGCGGCGTGTTGTTATTGTTGTGTGCAATCCTCTGTTGACATGTGCCATTATGATGAATGCTTTCAGTGTCACAGTGTGAATGCTGATCAAAGGATGCTCTTCACACCATGACTCTGCCTCGCTTCATTAAGCACAGATGCACCAACTTATCTAAAATTGCAGGCTTATTTCTTATCTGCAATGAGAAATGCATAGTCAGGCTCCCTGTTCTGCAACAGGGCTACAGATGTTTTGTTCATAAGGAAAATAAAAAATAAAAGCCTTTACTTTAACAAGAAGTTGGCCAGTATCTGATATACAAATCCTTCCTTTTTAAATGACCCTCCTCTCTTTTCAGATTGTGTATAAGGGGAATCCGTACGCCGATCACAACTCTACCGCCTATGCCACATATGAGAGGGGAGTAGAAGTTGGCTGCTGGGGATTGTGCATTAATGCAGTGTCCTCTGCTCTCTACTCATGTAAGTGGCAGTAATGTGTGAGGGGAAGCTATGTGAGAGAGTGGCAGGTGGAAATGGATAACAAAGGGAAATTACTGCTTTTGCTTTGGGATTGCAGGGAACTCCCTTAGCATGCTTTTGCCAAGGCATCCTGACCTGCGTTATTCTGAACACGTAAGTCCACATGTATGCTTCAAACATCCCCTGTTAAACAGCACATGTGAACCTGAGAGAACTGTTGTGCTACATACAGGGTAAAGCTCAGCCAAATAATGAAGGCTTGGCATGAACTCAGCTTTTTTAGTCTTTTGCTGTTGAGAAGGAGTCTTGGCTTCTAGGAAATGTCCAATTATATGTACAGACGGTTTTGGTACATCTAATGTACGCTAATCTAATGTTCACATAATTATCTACCCTGACTCCACACGCCTCATGCGGGTTTGTTGATCCACCAGTAATTTTAACTTTCCATGACGTACATGTCTGTGTGTTTTCAGATGTGCAGCGCTTCCTCCTCTCATACATCGGGCTGAAGGGATTATATTTTATGGGCTACCTTGTGTTTGGATTGGGCACCAGCCTGATTGGCCTTTTCCCCAACATCATAGCAACGCTCGTCCTCTGCAGTGTGTTTGGTGTCATGTCGAGCACACTCTACACCATCCCATTCAACCTGATAGCAGAGTATCAACGCGAGGAGGAGGTAATAAACTGGCAGTAGAAACACTCACTAGCTAAGGAATTGTTCAGGTTTCCTCAGTTTAAAAGGATCACATGGTTCTTAAATGAGCACATTTGTATATTGTACATGATACTGCATAACTATAGTATTGATTTTCCGTTTTTTCCACAGTGTAAAACATGTTTTGTTGTCAGTTTGCAGATAAATAATAACCCCATACTCCAAAATAATTATCTTTTTCCTAGTATAACTTTTGGTTTTGGGAATGAATCAAATGTAGCCTTAATGTGTCCTTATGTGAAACTGTAACAGGCACAAATTGATTGACAAGCAATCAATCAAGAAAATAATTTGCAGATTACAGTAAAAACATAAAAAGAAATGATTATTTCTGGTGTTTTTTAAAAAGCATACTGTAAGAATTAAGATGATCGAACATTTCTGAATGATGTGAATGAAAGCTTCGATTTAAAAGGGTACATAACGACTGGAACATTTAGCGTAGCTACTTCCTTTAATCATGATTTCCGATCAAAATTTGAGACTAAGATAAAGCATTGCAGTGATGTGCAAAATCTTAAGCCACACCTCAATCTTTATATTTTCGTCAGAAAATGTGCAAAAATATGTCAATATACATGGGAACACGGTATGTAAGGCAAAAACAGAGTGTGTCTGATTCTAATTAGTTTGAAAGTCAATGTTTGGTACGACCACTTTGGTGCTTCAATAGGGCCTGAGCTCTCTCAGGCGGCTTTCTTGTCATTTCTTTAAGTAGTCTTCAGGAAAGTTCTCCAGGCGCCTTGAAGGACATTCAAAGCCCTTCTTTGGATGTTGGCTGCCCTTTATTCCATGGTCTGTTGAGATGGTCCCACACTGCTTCATTTATGTTGAGGTCTTGGCTTTAGGGGGGTCCTTGGTGGCTGATTTTATTTTGTGTTTTTCTATCCGATTTTTCTACCCTGCACTGGCAATGTCTTTGGGATCATTTTGATGCTGGAAAATGAAGCCTCTGCAAATAAGCAACTTTTCAGATGGTATTCCATGGAGGATTAAAATCTGAGGGTACTTTTCTGTATTAATAATTCCATTCATTTTGATAAAAACCCAGACACCTCATGCAGAAATGCAACCTATCACAGAGCCTCCGCTGTGTTGTTACAGATGGCTGTACCAGTCACTGTTGACCATGCCTTCTGACCTCCTCTTTACATTCTGATGATGATTTGAACCCAAATTTTCAAATATGGATCCATCACTGCATAAGACCTGCTGCCACTGATTTTCCAGTTTTTATAATTTGGTATTCCTCTGCCTTATCTCCTTTTCCCTTCCTGCTAACCTTCAACTGAGAACATTTGCATTGAGGCTGCTAAATCTGTCAGGTATGTCAGGTCTCTGCTGGTTTCTTTTTTTTTTTTTATTTCTTAAGGACATGACTTTTAGATACTGTACATCTGCTGCAGATTTTTTTTATTTTTCCTTTAGGCCTGCAACTTTTGTCCTCAACTTGGTGTATAGTTTTCTTAAGCACAAACTGCATGCCATGGTGAGATATTCTGAGTCTTTGGATGTTGTGTATCTGTGTTATCTTTGGCATTTTTCATAGATTGAACTAAGGAAATGAGGAAAACAATCCAGAGTTTTTTCATCAGGCTGCTGGTAACAAAGTGTTTAAAGTAACAAGTTCAACAAGAAACTGGTTCTTTTTTTGTGTGATATGTGTAGACACGACGCTGGTTCATCTCTTGAGTTAGGTCTCTTTGTATTCTTAAACAAGGTCAGTCAATCTTCTAAAAATGTGGACTGAAAATGAGTGAAAAGGTAGCCAGCATGCACAGACAAACTCTGAAAGATCTTCAGAAAGTCTAAAGAACTATTGCAGGAAAATCTGGCTCCTTGGAAGCAACATATAAAGAAGTGAGGTGTGGCTTAAGACTTGTGCACAGTCCCATATTTTACTTCTTTAAAGTTCAAGTATTTACAAAAGACAGATCAAGAATGAGGCACTTTAAAGCCCCCGAAAAAACTATCCTAACTATTAATCCCATAACACAACTGACTCTACTCCTTCTGGCGGTTTTCTGTAGAAGTATTTAAAGTCCTAATGGAAACCAGAGATATTCACGAGGCTCTCCAAAACCATAAATATATGTCATTATTTATTCATCAATACCGTCCCAAGTAGAACGAACGACTGAACTGACGTTTTTGTGTTAAATTGTTGTAATGCACCTTTTATACCTGTTAAATGGGGAATTAATTGGTTTAAATATATCAAACAGTAGAAATCATCTGTCAGTCAAGTACACAGGCATTCATATTTTATTGTGAATTTGAAATTGCATCATTCAGTGTTACATCATTGTTAGAGGCTGTTCTGCAGAACAAGATTTTTGGCAAGATTTTGCCACTTATTTAAGTTACATTTATGCATTTAAATACCAAAAAAATAAAATAAAAGATCAGATTTTCATTTTAAAGGTTTGGAATAACACTAAACTTCTTTTCCCTTTTTTTAAGTGTCCACATAAATGTTTTAATACCGCTTATAGTATTGCTGCAACATTCTCAAAAAAGTTTATATAGTTCATCTATAAAACATAAACTGCAATGTCATTCATAAGTGGTTGCCTCAAAAATCAATTGTTTATTTTTTTCTGTCACGGTCAATCAATACCTGATTGAACTAAATCAGGTGAGAGTTTGATGGAATTCAACTTGCAACAACTGAAGCGAGGCTGAAAAGAATCTATCTTTTTAAGAAGCTGTTTCTTCATATTCTCAGAGCCGTCTGTTTATCCAGCTGTTTGTTTGTGTTTTTTGCCACAGCCTCTCTGATTAAACTGAAATTGATGTTTCCATATATTGCTCTCTTGTTTTCCCCTCCCTGCCATCCTCCTCTTCTCTAATAAACCTACAACCTCCTGTGCTTCCAGCAACAACTGAAGCTGCACGGAAGCAATAAAAGTCCTCGAGGTTCGGGAATGGACTGTGCCGCCCTCACTTGCATGGTCCAGTTGGCTCAGATCATCGTGGGCGTGGGGCTCGGTGCTCTGGTCAACGCGGCAGGAAGTGTGATCGTGGTGGTCCTCTCGGCTTCGACCATGTCTCTGCTCGGCTGCATCTTCATTGTCCTCTTCATCAGATATGTGGAATGAATGATTCTGCTCAAATACAAATTTTAAGGATATTGTTTTAAATAAACAATGATTGCTAATTATATCATCATAACGTCTGCAATTTTTAATCTTACCTCAGTGGCCAATTAACTGCTAATTATGACAATTTTTTTTAGGTTTCTCTGGTCTGATAGATCCTAAAAATGGTCTTTTTTGGCTAAAACAGCAACTGATATGTTCTTCAGCTCTTGTCTCGTGGTGCTGCAGGCCAGATATTTGCCACATTACAATGCACATAAACAATTTCATGTAGCTATTGATACTGTTAGTTCATTAAGCAACAAAGTTTCACAGCAGTAGTCTAAAGTGCTTGCAGGCATCTGGATCTCTTTTAGCTTCTTGGAGACATTTCACCACCCATCTGCAAAGGGTTCATGACATGAAGACACCAAACCAAGAGGGGTTTTCACTGAAATGCACATTACTGAATGATCTGTGCGCCGGCATGACTGGTTGACAAATGGCCCGGAATAGTGAAGGGACCAATAGTGAAGGAATTGGACAGGAACAGATCAATAAGATCGGAAAGATCAACAGCACAGCAGAAGTACAGACAGTGGTTGCAGTGGATGACTTCATTACTTTTAAAACTCTGCTTCAGCTCTTTGTATGCTATAACTTCACTCATGTCTGCTCTGCCACGTCTGAGCCATAATATCATTCATTTCATTTCATTCAGTATTACAAAAAAGCCAGAGTAGCCTTGCAGGTCAAATTTTATCAGTCACACCTGTTAATGCAGCTCCCGTCTCCTAGATCGTGGCACTTGTTAGTGTGGGTTGGTTTTACAGGCTTGTACAATTGGCCCCAATGGAAGATATTAAAGGCTAGAACAACCAATTAGAGCTTTTTGGACAAAGGGTAAGACACCTGGATGTCAAGTCAGGCTCAGAGAGTGAGGACAGGGAGGAACAGAGGGAACTCGGGACAACTGGAGACATTTAAGGATGCAGGGACTGACAGAGACAGGGAAGAAGGCTCATCGTGAGGATAAAGTTTTTCTTGCCTGGATTGGCAGCTCTCTGGGTGCTCAGCACCCCCAAAATGAATCAAAGCACCCCAAAGATTTCTTACTTTTTTTGACAATATTTGCTGTTTGTGGGACACACTACTAAAATATAAAAAGCATACAGTACTTAATTGAGATGGAACATTTTAACAACAAAAGTATAGATAACCCCCCTCCCAAAATGGTTTGTTCCAGCTCGCCTCTCCCCTGCTCTGGCTCTAGCCAGAGCGATGGTGGCTGAGACGCAGCGGAGCGGAGGTGTAAGTGCCTGGCTTAAAACAGGACATATTAGCTGCATTTAACCTTCAGTTACTCTTTATATAGTTAGGTAGGAGTCAGACCATGTTTCTTTTTAGCTGAAAAACATTACACCAGGTAACCTGCAGTGTTGAAAACGTGTTTTCCGACTATGTTTGCTACCCTACAATCCGTCCTGCTCTGTAGTAAAATCAGCGACATTTGACCGTCCTGTTGCTCCCATTGAAATGTATACAGCCTATTTAAAATCTAAAACTTAACATTGTCCGTAGCCTGCTGTTGTTACCACTGTCCTGTTTGAAATGTAATGAGAGAAACTGGTTATTTTGTCATATGTGCCGATATTGAACCCAAGGTACTAACTAGCTAACTGACTGGATGCCCATTAACCTTATAACTCCTGTTGTGTGTGTGTGTGTGTGTGTGTGTGTGTGTGTGTGTGTGTGTGTGTGTGTGTGTGTGTGTGTGTGTGTGTGTACAGAGAGACAGCCAGGTTCATAATGGATATGAGGAAG